GGGGGGGTATTTGGTCATTTTAAATGTAAAAGGACCAATAGTGAATACTGAATAGAATAAGATAAGATCATTTCTTTTCTTTTGAGGTGACTTGCTTTTGGGTGGGGGCCTGGGGGAGTGTGGAGGCCCACTTTCTCCGAAGGCACCCAACCAACACCAACCCAGCCCAGGATCCGCTGCGGTCGCCACGCTGTGTATAAAGTATAAACGGGCTACTTAACAAACCACGCGCGGCGAGCAGCGGATCATCCGGCCGCCTCCGAAGCATAGCAAGATTGAAGCGTGTGTAGACATTTGTAAACGATAAGAAGCCGTCAATTATCAATTTTTATTAGGCATTATTTATATTTAACAAAAAAGAAAATACCTGATGATATGGTATGAGTATGATGACTCTGATCTCCGCTTCTGGCGTTTTCTTTCCTGTTTAAACTTTAAACTTAAAACTTGTGGCCGTTGATATTCTTTCGATGCTGTCACTGCGGGGTTTGAACTTTGAAGCAAGCGGCGCATAGGGTTGTGACAATTGCCAATTTGCCATATGGATTTTCTTTTGTTAAGAGTAAGTAAACGCCTACGTCAAATGGAAAATGGAAAATCATAAAGACCTCCTTCTCCCCGTAATCAATGGTCGGAAAGTGTGAAACTATGGTCAAAACGTGTGAGACCGTGTCAACCGAACAGCCTTTCCCTAATCTTATTTGGTGTAGCTGGCTTATGGCTAGCTCTCAGTCCAAGCTAGCTTTCACAATTCATTTGGGACGTTGTAACTGGGTAAGGTCATAATTATAATAGCAGGAGCAGGATCTGTTGTTTTCCTGCCACTTTTCCTCTTTGGATGTTTCTTGTTGCTTGTTGCAGATCGAACACGGCTTGCCAATGATGGTTTTAGCTACGTGTTAATTAGCCTCTTCTTCTTTTTTAGGAACCTGTAATCTCTCAGGCCTCATATATAATAGCGAGTGTTTCATTCTCGGTTTTTGTACCAAAAATAATTGTTTTCTTTAATCTAATTTTAAGAAAGCATTATGATTTCATTCTCAGGCCTCATATATACTTTCAACAAAGCATTATTTTTTAAACTAGAAACTCATAAATTTGTTCTTGAATTTCCAATTCCAGAAGCGTGATTTTCATATTATGATTTCTTTTCTTGTCATCTTTGATACAGCATATAATATAATATTTGATCAAATGTAGAATTCTAACAAATGGATGATGATGGTTTACATTACTTATTTTTAATTTTTTTTTGTCAATTTATACTTTGAACAAGTCCATACCCTCTTAGCTGATCCAAATAGTTGTTGACTTGTTGCAGGGCTTTTTATTCTGGCGGGTTAGACCATTCTAAACCCACTTTYGACATTCTACAAATAATAAGCAAATTCAGCTTTGTAATTATCATATAGTTGACTGTATTCCAGTTCAGGTATGAATTTTGCGCATTAATGGGTTTATACAATAAATGGCCTTGATTGCTGATGACCTACTAAATATAGAGTCGTGAGATGTAGTAACTACAACCTCTCCGCTGTAGGTTCAATGAACCTCACATGCAACCTACTCTGTCCTTATTCTTTTATTATTATTATTATTATTGATGTAATCGTTTTTTGTCACGTATCAATTATTTTATTTTTTGGTTAAGTATCTTGTCATTTGACCTGTTCCTAGGTGATCTGTGATTCAGAGGATGGTGGTGCTCCCTGGTGTCGAACTGCTTGGGGGAGAGCTATGCCGAGCTCCCTGGTGGCGGATTGCCTGGGGGAGATCTATGCCGAGCTCCCTAATGCCGAACTGCCTGGGGGAGAGCTATGCCGAGTTCCCTGATGGCGAACTGCCTGGGGGAGAGCTATGCCGAGCTCCCTAGTAGCGAACTGCCCGGGGGAGAGCTATGCCGAGCTCCCTGATGGTGAGCTACCTTGGTGGACTCGTCATTTGACCTGCTCCTAGACGGACTGTAACTCAGAGGATGGTGGAGCTCCCTGGTGTAGCGCAATCCGACTTCCCTCTGCATGAGGTGATCTCCTCTCCTTTGTAGGCGACGGGAGCTGAGGAACCTGCAAGAACTCCATCTTTTCCTCCTCTTTGTAGGCGGCGGGAGCTGAGGAACCTGCGAGAACTGAATCAGAGGACCCGGGGGTATTTACCCGGCAAGGACTCTCCGATGCCTAAGTTAGCATTCTGATTGTAGAGAGCTTAGAGAGAAATGAGAGAGCTAGAGAGCAAGGATTACCTCCATTTTTTCATTCTCTCCCCCCTTTGTCTTTGGGGGTCGGAGTCCTTATATAGTGGTGTCCTGTCAAATCAGGCGTAACAACCTCTGTCAAGTCAAGCATAACCGCCTCTGTCTCTCTGCCGTAGCCGTTACTACCAGAGCTGAGGTGGCAGGTGCAGGCAGATGTTGCAGAGTACAGCTTTGCCAGGCAAGGGACAGCTCTCAGGCCTGGCAGGCACGGCGCCGCCTGGCGAGAGACGTGGGCACATGTCTCCAGATCTGTTAGGTACGGTTGTCAGGCAGGAGATCTTCCTGCGATATGCCGAACTGCTCTTCTGTGAGCTACCCTGTACCAAGCTACCCTGCAAGTGGTGAGCTGCCTCGGGGAGAGCTATGCCGAGCTCCCCGAGCTATGCCGAGCTGCTTGTGGTGAGCTCTGCCGAGCTGTCTGTAAGTGGCAAGCTGTGGCAAGCTCTGCCGAGCTACCCAGTTGTCAAGAGGTTGCACTTGGTTTGCATGAGGTGTCAGGTGTCACAATTTCACTGGAGGGCCAAATCCGCCCTCATCATTTGCCCCCCACTCTCGAGCTGAGAGTAACTCAGCGAAGGGAGTAGATTTCTTCTTTTGGCCCATAAGTCGATGAGCTAATAAGTGTTGATCTAATTCCTTAGGTTTTGGGAGATGCCTGTATGTGGCAAACTGCCTATAAGGTGATGAGGTCTCCGCCAGTTCAGTACTGTAGCCCTTAGGCTCTGGGGGCAACTTATAGTTCACTTTTGCTGATTTTGCCCATGTTGAGGAAGCGACTGGGTTTTTAGCAACAATGTGGCCCGTAGGCTGTGGGAGTGACTCGTAGTCCACTCTTCTTGACTTTGCCCATGCCGAAGAGGCGACTGGGTCTTAAGCAGTAATGTGGCCCGTAGGCTTTGGGAGCGACTC